CTTGATATGAGTGATTTTAATTAATATCAACTATGGTAACTACTAATAAAGATTTGTCATCTTCATTTTTTTGTTGAAGAATCTTTTTGTGTACCACATTCTTAGAGTTCATCCATTTTTCCATTTCCAATGGAATGACAGTAAAGTTTTCTCCTTCTTTTTTATTGATTTTTTCTAGGCATCGCAATGCATCTTCTTCTTCCTCGTAGCAGAACATAGTCCAAACATTTCCATTAAAAAAGTTCTTCTTAAAGAGTTGTAAGTCTTTTGGCAGGTTTAGTGCATTTTGAAAATATTTCATCCTCTTATTTTCAGATTCTCCTGAAAGCCTAAATGTAAGAATTCCTATTTTGTATTTGCCATTTTCTTTAATATGGAAGAAATTAATGCTAGAAGGAGATGATCTATTTCTTGTTTCATAGGTAAATTGTTTTGCGATATTATCTCCTTTAATCTTTTCTGTAATCTCCTTTATCTCTAGTTGATCTTCTATTTCCTTGTCATTTATTTATATTTTAGTATTACTAGAAATTTCTACTGTTATAGTTGATTGAACATCCATATTATTTCCCAGATCTATATTATAAGAATTGTCATTTATCATAGATTGGGCTGTTGATATTTTATAGGAGATGTGTTGTGATTGTTTCTTCTGTTCGATTAGATCAAAATACTTATCTTCTAGATATGGCGCTAGAAAATCTTCATCTTTCCCTTGTCCTTGAGTTCACAGATATAGAATATGTTACTTAAGAATTGTGACTTTGACAAAGGTAGTCTGATCGATATTTAGGATTTGGGTGATAACACTATCCAGGATTAAGTATCTGTTTGATTCAGGAGCAGGGTCCTGTATAGTTTCTGGAGTAGCAGCTATATTGAAAATAGCTTGTGTTGTCTAAAGTTTTTTATGTTGGTCAAATTTGTTTGATAGTCAGATTAGTGTATCCATAATATGTGCTTCCCTCTTTTTCGTTACTTATATTATCCTATGTCTTTTCATTAACATATCTAGATCACATGATGCAGAAAAACTTATTAACTGTTTTGATAAATGATATAGTCTAAAGTTTATGTGTCACCAAATTAAGCTGTTGTTGTTTTGCTGTCACAGATCTTATTTGGAGATGATTGACTTTGTTTATCAAATCTAAAAATAAATATAATGTAAGGGATTGTAAACAAAACACGTTTATTTTAAAGTTTATATTTGTCATGTGAGCTTGTTGTTGTAAAAACACAGATGTGACAGATTTTGCATTATGCGTTTTAGATATAATCAGTTGTTGTGTTGTTTTTGAAACTCTATTCTGTTGAGCAAAAGAGGCTTGAACATTTTTCTAGGTGTTGTAAATCTTGAACTTAAACTGATTTATTGACTTGATTTATTGTTTGCAAAACTTCTCTTGGTGTCAAAAAAGGTGTTATCCTGCATTGGTTTGTCTGAGAGCTTGTAGAGTTGAGGTTGGGCCTCAAAAAGCTTACTGTGAATCAGTGTTCTTATGTTTTTCTTTCCTTTGTAAAGAAAGAAACTTTGTGTAGAAAAGATAGATTTTCTTTAAATCTCCTTGATATTTGTTATCAATTAGTTGTATATAGTATAAAGCTTGCTTGAGAACAAAGGTGTTTATATGTAAAAGTGTTTTCTTGTATGTGTAAAGCTGACTTTTCTTGTTTTCCAATAAAATTACCAAAAAAGGAAATTTTTAAGAAAACTGAGATCAACGGAAAGAATTAAATTTTATAAATCCTTTTATTTTCCTCAATTATAATTAATATTTTAAAAAAATATTTTTTAATAAAAAATATTATATTAAAAAAAAATTTTTTTTTATGGGCTCATGCCTAACTTTATTGATTTCTAAATTACAAGTTTATATTATACAATGTGCAAATATGTGGATGTATATTCAGGAAAAATAAAGATAATAATAAGCTAAATTTATTCTAAAGCTACTTTGAAACTTATTGTCCTTTCTTTTTCTAAAGAAAATCTAATATTTCTGGAGCATGTTGGTGTCATAAATAAAAATAAAAAAAAAATAAAAGAAAAATTTGACAGTTATATGGAATGTGTCGATCCTGTTTCTTAACATATGCCTATCTTGTTCTAATTTCCTCATAAAAAGATTTGGAGAAAAACTTCTACTAAGTCTTTACAGAGATAAGGTGAAGGCCAAAGATAAGACTGTATAGTTTGAAGGCTTATGGGGAGGAAGTGGCCAGGAAGGTCTAAGTAATATATTGGTATTCACATGATTGACTTGAAAGTCTCCCAGTATATCATCAATTAAATCCATTTCTATTTAAATATGAGTATACTTATCCATTTGTGCATCTTATTTCAAATTTAATTCCTTATATGAAAGATAGCATCTAGCCTTGTGATCAACATATTCTACTAATGGCCATTAGTATTAACAATCAATGAGGATCTTCTAAATATTCCAGCTGGCTTGCATGTCACTACTAACATTTTTGAACTTGAGTTTCGATTGATATAGTAGTGTTAATCTTTCAATCTTTCAGTTCGGGATTTTTTGAAAATAGAACAAAAACTTTCTGGGTTACTTTGTACATGAGCTTTACCACTGAGTATCCTTAATAGCTCCATGCTTTCTCTGATTTAGACTTTCTGGGTAGTAGAGATTGGAATCATGGTCAGATAAATCTTTTCTTATATCCAATAATGTATTAATACTATTTCTTATATCCATCTGCACCATCATATGTGACTTATAGTAGACCCCAGATTCTTATAAATCTGAGGAAATATATTTAGACATATAAAATAGCCAATAGGAGCTTGTTTATCAATCTTATAGGACATGTTTTATGTCAGTCAATCAGAATCAGTGAGATCTATACTACTTAAAATTTCAGGATCAAGTTAGAATAGACAAAATTTTTCAGAAAGCCATGAAAAAGGTAGCACTAAGAGGTCACAAACTGGTTAAAGGGTAGAAAAAGTAAGTTCTTTGATTGAAACAAAACCTCTGTTATCTTTATCATAACTGAAAGATAGACAGTACTTCACTATTGGTTCTTTTTCCTTTAAGAACTTTCTTGCTGTTGGTAGTAAAGATGAGAACTGAACTTTGCAAGCCACAAGAGTTCAGTTTGTTCAAAAGAAATTGTAAACAAAAGGGAGGAGAGGTAGGGAAGTTCTGAAAGAATTTTTTTATATTGGTTTAAAGAAAGTAATAAGACTTTATTAGTAAAGAAGTATAAAAACTTCTTGCGAATATCTTTTTGTGTATAATCAAAGGATCAGTGGAAAAAGTTTTTTTTTTTGAATTAATAATTGAAAAATATTATATTAAATAATTATAATATTAATTATAATTATTTATATTTAAAGAATTTATTAAAATATTTGAATGAATATTTAATATTTTAATTGATTCATAAATAATTTCATAATAATTTATATTATTATTATATAATATTACTAGAAGGCTTGCTGAATTGAATATATAATTTAAAAGAAATTTTAAAACATAAAAAATAAAAAAAGAAAATAAGAAAAATAAAGAATTAATACTGTAGCTAAACTTAAAAAATAAAAAATTATTAATATATTTAAAAAATAAGAAATAAATTAAGAAAAATATAAAAGAAACAAATTCAAAGATAATTAAAAAATTAGATGAAAAAATTTAATAAGATAATATCAATTAGGATAAATTTTAAAAAAATTCAGTTGAAATTTTTTTTAAAAAAAGAAAAATAAGTAAAATAATAAATAATAATAATAATAAATAGTTTTATTAAGTAATTTGTAATTTTTTAATAAATTTCATAAAATTTGTTAAACTTTTTAAATATTTATTAAATTTTAATATCACTTTAATATTACAATATTCTAAATTTGTAATTTTTGTCAAACTTTTTGCTAAAGTATGTGAATTTTTTGCTCAATATATAAATTTTTTGCTATATATTTTTTCACAGTATTGCAAAATTTTTGTCAAATTTGATAATTTGACTGCCAAATGACATAATTTCGACTAGTGAATTATTATAAATTATATAACAATTAACAAAGAAAAAAAATTTTTTGACTATAATAAAGCTTTTAAAAAACGTATATCAAAAAATTTTTTAAAAATAAAAAAATAACATAGGCTTTAGATAATATTGTATATGAATTTTGTTTGTTGAAAGCATAATTATGAACTTAAGTTTATAATAAAAACAATAAATAATTCCAAACTTTCATGAATCACAATGAAAGTTATATAAATAGAAAATTCCTGCTAATATTTCGATACACAAATATGCATCGCATTTCTCGACACGTGGTACTTCAGATCTAAGGTTTTAAAAATTACTTGGTATTCTCCTGAAACCGGCAATATATTGTTGATTAACTAAATTGATTTGAAAAGTGAGTACTATTTTCCGAGAAATACGATACCTTTATTCGCATGGATATATTAAAGAATCTCATTTATAATTGTTATCAACTATTAGAACATAAAAAACTTATTTATCATTTTGTCTATGAAAATGGTGCACTGATGCCTATATATGTGAAGAAAAGTTAGATAATGATCCAGAAATGCATATTCAAAATTGAATGTTAAAAATAATTACAGCACCTGATTAACAGGGTATATTAATATATCAGCAATGTTGACATGATCAGGTCTTGAAGCAGCAAATACCACAGTTTCAGCTATACAATAAGATCAAAAAATGAATGACTAAAATATTTTTTTCAGTAACAAAGTATAATCGCTGTAAAATATCTACCAATATCTTCGCCGCTTAAAGGTTGCTAATTATTATGCATTGTTAATCGAAAGCATATTTTGAATAGTTAATAATAAACGCGCAAATTTTATAAATGACGAAACACAAGATTTACCAATCCCTCGTAGACTTTGTCTGCTTTTGATTTGTCACCACCGAATCTAACGATCGAGAATTCTGTTTCTACCATGCCTATTGATTCAACAGACTATAAAATTATAACGTAATGTTACAGAACATAGTTATTTATCAGATAAAAACTTTCCTGGATTGATCTCTGTTACTCTGATTGGTGTGTCGACCTTATGTATAAAAATGATATGACTATCAAACACTAACTTTGAAAATATACCATTAAAAAAAAAAAGAAAAGGAAAATCACCAGCTCGTAAAGTAAAGTTTTCGAAATAGCATTAACAGCATGCTTAGAAGCACAATACACGCTACCATTAGCATAAGCTTGCTTTCCTGCAAGGAAATATTCAATGAATGTTGTAATGCAGTACATGTGAACATAAAGCAGTATCATATGCAAACCTGATACGGATCCAATATTAATTATGTGCCCTTTTTGGCGTTCTTTCATTCCCGGAAGAATGGCTTGCGTGACATATAGCAAACCCTTAACGTTTGTATCAATCATCGTATCAATAGCATCCAAAGAAACATTTTCAACTCTATCCGTTCCAATAACCAATCCTACGTCGTACAAAATTGCATATAGTGAACCGAGTTTAAAAGAAACATAATGAAAAACCTACCAGCATTATTAACCAAAATGTCGATTTCTTTTAATTCAGCCGGCAAGCTTGAAATTAACGAATCCACTGAGGATTTGTCGCGCACATCGAGTTGGTGAGTATGAATTTTTACCTCGGGATTCTCGGATAATAATTCTTGTTTGAGTCGCTCGAGACGTTCGATCCTTCTTGCAGCCAGGATCTAATTTGAAAAAATTAAGATGCAGCGTTGTATGTTGAACGCGAATTGAATAAGGTGAGGGATGAATTATATAAGATTTTCGTAATTAGTAAAATACAAACTAAGTTAGAACCAGATTTTGCGAATTCTTTGGCGCATGCTTCTCCAATGCCAGCAGAAGCTCCCGTGCTAAAACGAACACAAAAATTATAATTAGTGATAATCAGAATTTCGTGTTTAAAACCTAATTTTCAAAAACCTCGAAATAAAGTATTACATCAATACATTTTTATTCTTAAGTCTTTTACTCATTGCGTAATTTCTAAGAAATGTGAAATTTCTTGGTGGTATTCTGATTTTGGAAGCGCGAATTGAAGTGAGAAACATCAGTCAAATATGCGCATTCATAAAACTTATCGATTTACATTTTGCGTTCTAAATCGGTTTCATATATTTTTCAAAAAAAATATGTAAACTACTTTATTTCATTATTACTTATAGTAAGAACAAATAATAGTTCTATCTTGAATAATCCAATGTTAATTGGGAATTATATCTCAAGGAATTTGAAGAGATATAAACATCTTATTCTCAAGAAAGGAAAAATCTAACAATTTGTATCTATCTAAAAAAAATTTTTTATTATAATAAAAAATATATTTTCCATTTATAAAATAGTTTTTTTTTTTTTTTTTTCGGGTGAAAGGTGCTAATAGCACATGTTTCATTTATAAAATAGTTTTTTTAAACTTTAAAACAGAATTTTATTAAATAAACTTTAATAAATAATTATTAGATTCTAAAAAAATTTTTTTAGATTATTTCAAGTTGTAATAGAAAAGATCTTTTTTTAAGTCTAATATATATTATTATACTATAAAATTTACTTTTTTAATCTTTTTTTTTTTTTGCTAGCACAGCCTTGTTTTATTTGAATATAGTAGATATTACATATATAATATAGATAAGCTACTTTTATTTTTCAAGTAAAACTTCTATAAGGAAAACCCTACTTCATGGCAGTGCCACCTTTTTGAAACAAAAAGGTTAGTAAAAAAGTTTACTAGTATAAAAAAATTAAGAAAGAATTTATGTTATTTATATTTGAATCAATGTGTTCTTCAAATTTAAACCCGATAGTAATAGTATCTATTCAATTATTATAATTCTATTTTTTAGGCTATATTATAACTACAAATAAAAACTATATAAGATTAAATAGAGGAGAAGACTTTGTATACAACAAAGAAGGTACTGGTAAAAGAAAGAAGTTGGTCTTGATATGAAATGATTTGAAAGCTATACTACTACTATCACTTTTGTACCATCGACTGATTACTTTTCAAGGAATTTATTAGTTCAAGTCATAATGCCTCTTCTTTAGCTACTTCCAGTATAGCCATATTATAATTTCTTATCTTTCAGCTCTAGTTTCTTCTTTTGATTTCTACCTTATCCTATCTAGTATAGAATCTTTATCAATGTTCTTTCAAATGATAATAAGTCGGAATTGTAAGGAGAGTTCTAAAACATAGAGGAGAAGTAGTTCGATAATACTATTAGAGTTTCTTTTTTTAGGCTATATGAACACTAGAAGGGAGGAGTCTGTCATCTAATAATCTATTCTTTTTTACCATTATACCGGTTTTATCTTAGAAAAGAAAATCTTGATATGTCTGATTTATGCTTTATTGGATTTAATAAATATTATGCTATTTTTCTCAGAGTACAGTTAACATTCCCTAAATACATACTTTCTAAATGCACATTCTTTTTAAATGTATAATATTTTATAGTCCCAATTTTGGAATTTAGTACTTAAATACACATTCTATATTCTACACATGCAATAGATTTTGACAATTCCATCTATATAAGAATAATTCTCTAAATGCATACATATAATATTAATTACAAATTTAGTAAGTAACATTAATATTGTTATATATTGAATAAAATTTTAATTGGTATATTAGCATAATATGTATCATTGATTTTAAACTTTGAAATTGTATATAAATACATAACATTAATTAATAAAAGTATCATGCTTTCAAAAATAAAAATTACTTTGATAGATATCCAAAAGTATGAATTTTATCTGTATGCTTATTACAATCCAGGAAATCTAATAGAATATGTTAACTAGATTGAAAACAAATGAAATGTCAGGGTTAGTGAATCTACAGTATCACGTATTCTTCCATAAAAAGATAAGTGACTTTTAACTTAGATTAATATATCAAAAGCAAAGAGACATAGATCAGTCATATTTTCACAACTTGAACAAGCTCTTAAAGAGTTTGTATTGATATATCAATATCAAATTATATTAAGCGATACTGTGTTAATTGAACATATCAAATAATTAGTATGTAAATTAAAGATCTCTGAATGTACATTGAATTTCTTTATTGGTTGACTTCAGAAATTCAAAAAGCATTATTATATTCATCAAGTTAAACTGTATAAAGAAGAAGTATCTGTTAATTTGATAGCAGTTTCTGAGGTTTTATCACAATTGCATAATATATGTAGTAACTACTCGTCTGAACGAATTTATAACATGGATAAAAAATGACTTTTTTATCAATAAATATATATGTTGTTATAAATAGTTTAATGCAAAAATATAATAAATATTATATTAATTTTTATAGACTAGATCCAGATAAAACACTAGCTACTCAATGTTTTGCCGGTCGCAAAAAAGATAAGGAATATCTTTCTATTGCACTTTGTGCAAACTCCAATGGATCATATAAATTAGATCTATTAGTTATTGGTAAATATGCAAGACCATGTTGTTTTAAAAACATCAGTCTTCATAACTTGCCAGTGACATATTGAAATAATAATAAGGCTTGGATGCTTATATCTTTGTTTCAAAAGTGGATCCAAAATTTTGATAAACAAATGGTTGATAAGTATGGAAATAATCATGATTTACTTTTTTTAAATAATTGTTCAAGCCATAAACTGAAGGATTTGAATCTTCAACATATCGATATACATTTTCTTCAATCTAATATGACTACTAAGATCTAACTTATAGATGACAGAATTATAATGGCTTTTAAAAAACATTATCATCATTATCAAATTCGATATTGTATAATATATTCTTGTTAAAATTAAAAAAGAATTTAACATTAATATTATAATTTATTTATAGCTGGATGTTAGAGCAAGATGAAGCTGAAAAAAAAATAAAACAACATAAAATGAATGTTCTTCAAGCTATCTGATATATTAGTAAAGCGTGAAAAGAGATTACGCCTAAAACAATTTATCAATGCTGGCAATATACTGGCATTATTCCTAAAACTAATAATGCAACTTACAAATCATTTCCGATAGCATCCATGTGATTAATTATTTGATTCTTAATTAAATCTGCAGAATGCTAAGAAATCTTAATTTTTCAGAGTCAATGGAAATTGAAGAATTTCTCACAGTTCCTAAAAAAAATATTGTTTACGAAATTTCAGATAATAAACAAATAGTTACAAAGCTTGCTGAGATTTTTAAAGATGAAAATAGTAATGATTTAGAAAACATGGATGACAGCACTAAAACAATAGTTATTAGCACAAGTACTGCATTAAAAAGCTTAGAAACTATACACACATTCTTATTGCAACAAGAAAATATAAAAGATCAATTGAAGTGTACAAATATTTTAGAAAGATATATTAGAGAAAAAAAGGTTAGTTCAATGCAACAGTTGAACTTAATCCAATATTTTAAATAAAGGCTTATTTTTAGTAGCGAGATAGTTTTAGATAGTTTCTTATCGTTTTAGCTATAGTCATCATTATTTGTATAAATAAACAAGTATGACAGGCAATAAAGAGATATTTAACCTGTTAAATCTGAAATTGAAAAAAGAAGGAAGTCAAGTCTTTGCTTTGCCTTACACAATGGTTCTACTATTCTAGGGTGACGAAGTATATGGAAATCCTGCAAAGAAGGTGAGAAAGGTACAAGAGTTAACTAGAATACGTAAGATACAGGAAGAAGGAAAACAAAGAAGCTTTGGTCTAATCTTTAAGCTTTTTTTGAAAAAGAAAATTAATCAATCGGTGAATTGTAATAAAAGTTTAGTGACAGACTCGCTGTTTCAACGATCAACAACTTGATGACTAACTGTGAGATAGAACAAAAAGAGATACAGAAACTGTGGATTTTAAGCGAAATATTTAATTACCTCTCCAAAGTATTAACGTAGCAAAGAAATATATATTAAAAAAAAAATCATATTTAAAATTGTGTTTATTTCAATAAATAATTTATTGTAGTGCCCTTTTATTTTTATTTATTTTTACATCCATAGAAAAAAAAAGAAGAAAGTGATAATAAATGACATGGGAAGTATTTTCAAGTGGCGAACTTCAAAAGATCACTTTAAAAGAAGTAGACTTAACGACGTATCTGACAAAATCTGAGGATTCATCTGATAATGATAAAATCAGGGATAGTCAGTGTTAGTCTATTATCAAAAATTAATAAGAGATGAAAAAGGTATATGAGTAATAACGATAATGAAAAATTAGCAAGAGTAGAAGTACTTAGCAACATCTTAATCCTCGAAAATTACAGCAATTAGAAGAATCTTGGTGATATCTTGACTTACAAAAATTGCAGCAAATAGGAGAATTATGGCAATCTCGCAATTGGCAAAAATTAGAAGAAATAAGTGAATGTTGGCAAGAACTATGGAAAATAAATATATCATAGTGATATTTCTATTGCTATATATTAGATAAGTTTGGAATAGAAGTGATGTCCAAAGCATTTAATTTTCTGGATTCAGATGGTTATTTGCAAAATTATTTAACCTATAATGGTATTATAGAACTTATAGCATGCACTAGGTTAGGTAGGAAAATCTGGATGAACCATCAAATCTTGATGGAAGAGAAATCGACTTTGAAATGGGGAAAGCTTGAAAAACATCTATGATTGGAATAACAAAAACTATGAATGCAATTGGACAATATGTAGTAATTATATAATCGAAAGTAATAGGGAAAATAGACAACAATTGAATGGCTGCTCAGCAAGAATGTGGTATTATAATCGATTGTATTATTACAAAAAAAGTCATTGATTCTAGCGAATGTGATGATAGTTCAGTTAGCCTTCCCTTATAATGGCAAATAGCAAGACAGTGAAGAAACAAAGAGTATGTATTTATTAGATTCTATAGGGAATGTACTCTGTTATATAAGCAATATAATCGAGAGAAATAAGTGCTATACTATTATGAACAAAACAATCTCAAGTATACAAAGTGCAAAATGTTGGCATAAAAATCAAAGAGAACAGAACCAGTCTAAATTTATGGTACGAACTGAGTGAATTTGTTCATGGTCTTCTCCAATTATGATAATATATGCTGAGATAGGAAAACAGAAAGCATGTGACAATTTTCGTTCATTACTACTTGGATTATGCAAAGGAAAAAGAGATTTATTATAATGATACAAGTAATAGTATTCTGGGTATGTGGCACATATCACGGATATCAAGGCAGGGAGAGTAATATGCTTCTGGTGGAATCTTATAATATAGTGTAATAGCTGTGAAGAGTAACAAGACAAGCTTAAGTCTATGGTACAAACTAAGGACTCGTCCAATGATAATGGCATCAAAGATGATGATAGTCTGCCTATATCCATGATACAAGTTGAGGAGTCATATATGTCTAGTATGAGGTGAAAAAGAAAAAGATTAGTGATTTTATAATATAGTATAATAGCCATGAAAGGTAACAAGTGGCAAGACAAGCCTAAATCTATGGTGCAAACTGAGGACTCATCCAATGATGATAATACCAAAGATGATGATAGTCTGCCTATATCTATTATGCAAGATGGGGAGTCGTATGTACCTAGAATGGAACAAAAGAGAAAAAAATTAGTGATCTTATAATATAGTGTAATAGCCGTGAAGGGTAACAAGTAATAAGACAAGCCTAAGTCTATGGCGCAAACTAAGGACTCGTCCAATAATGACAGCATCAAAAATGATAGTAGTCTGTCATGTCCATGATGCAAGATAGGGAGTTTTATATGCCTAGGATGGGGTAAAAGAAAAAAAGATTAGTAATTTTATAATATAGTGTAATAGCCATGAAGAGTAACAAGTGGCAAGACAAGCTTAAGTCTATGGTGCAAACTGAGGACTTGTCTACCTATATCCGTGATACAAGATAGAGAGTTGTATGTGCCTAGGATAGGATAAAAGAAAAAAAGATTAGTGATGACACACAATTATCACAAAGCCAAAAAAGTAGCATGACAAATAAATTGGATTAAATATACTTCCTATTATCCCAATGGACTTTTTTGTAGTTATACTATGGGAATCAAAGAATAATGTTTAGCAAAATGAAAATTGATAAGCACCATAAGCACGTCATGGGAATAATTTGATTTAATGACATGGACAGTATGTTATCAGTGCTGAAAAATTGTTGTAAAGGATGATATACTAAACAAAGGAGACAAGCAATTGAAAATGATCACAAAACAAGAATAGAGGAATTACGGATAATCAACAATAACTGCGAACTCAAGGGAATGAAATAGGAATTAAAATTAAATAGGTATATTTTATTTGATCTTGGAGAATCGGTTACAAACTGTGCCTGAAAAATTCATAATATCCAACATTAAAAGATTATGATAAAACCTTTGTCGCAGATATTAAAGATAAGGTGTGGGGAAATGCAAGTGATAAAATTGACTGCACGTTATGTAATTTTAAAGTAATGTCACCTGACTTTGCAATGGTTATAATGGGTTAAGACATTAGAATAGCTTATTTTTAGTTTAGCCATTTCGACTACCAACAATATGTTGAAAATTCTATCACGTGAATGTGTTACCACTCCATAAGTGCATTGTTCTCTAAATGCATGGCATTATACTTTCAGTCCCAAGATATACATTTAGGGAATACTGACTGTACTACTATCTTAAAAGGTTAAGCCATAGTCCTTTTTCTTCAGATTGCACATTAATTCTGATTTTGATTGATACAAACAATACTTCTTATGCATTATTATTTTTTTATATACCCTTGAGTCTTATTATAAATATAGTTTCACTTGATAGATTTATATAGTATATTGCTAAAATTCTTTTTTGATTGAGGCACTAACATAAAAGAGACTATGTCCTATATCCACCTGCACCCCAACCTAATATCTTAAAATGGATTTCAGATTTTTATGGAGCCAAGGAAATGTATTCAAACATATGAAGTGACTAATAGAAACTTGTTTACATTTTTTTATTGATATGTTTTTTACTAGCCAATTATTGCTTGAGAAACTTTGTGCTACTCAAAATTTAGAATCAAATTGAGATAGGTAAAATTTCCAAGAAAAAATTGAAAAAGAGCACTCTTAGAGCAAGTATATGACAAGCGAATGGATAGTTGCCTTCAAGATAAGTCTCTTATTATAAAAAAAGCTCTATGTTATTTCTCTAGTATATAAATAGATATCAGTACTTCAGTTCTTCTTATTTTTAAAACTTTTTTGACTCTTGAAGTGTTATTTCAAGTTGGTTTAAGGAAAGTGATAAGACTTTATTAATCAAGAAATTTAAAAATTTCTTGCAAATATCTTTTTTGTATAGGGTTAGAGGATAGTGAAAAAAGTTGACTTTTTTAATCTAATTAATTAAGATATCTATTTAGTTATTAAAATTGTTTATTTTATAAGCTTTAATTTTTCTAGTAATAAAAAAAGATTTTTTTTTAAAATTATATTTTTTATCCATATTCAAATATTTTAATTTATTTTTTTAATATTATAAAGATATATAAGTATATAATATTTTTATTTTGATAGTTAAACTTTTTTTTTTTAATCTGCAATCATACTACTTTGACATGTCTTTATTGAGATATTGAAAAATACTTAAATATTTTACAGACTTTTATAAAGTGACTAACTTGTCATTGTATATTATTAGCTAAAGGACTATACTACTTAAAAAATTTGAGAAGTTCACTAAGCTAGTTTGGACTAAACAAAACTAAGTCTAAACTAGGTACTCTAAGTTAGATTTAGGAAATAATATTTCACTCTTCTAATAGTTTGGCATAGTGTCTTTAAGTCAACCTGGATTATTGCCAATAGTTTGTCACTATTGATTATCCCAAAAAATGATGAATTCCTAAAGTTGACACTGAGGAAAAAAGGAAGGGAAAATACAAATCAAAGTTCTTCAAAAGGTTCTTACTTCATTTCACAGTTTTCTCTTGAAAGGGGTTTGCCTGATTGGGATATTCTTTAAGCTTCATGATGTTTGAGAAACTTAGTCATTCCTGAAAGTGACTTCAAGAAGAACATTTGAAGAACTTATCCTTCTGCTGATGTACAGATTCACTTATTACTAGTGAAGTTAACACCATATTATGGAAGAGTTTGCCTGATCGGAATAAAAAAATCTTTTCAAGAACTTTGCCTAACTAGGATAGAAGCTTGGAGACCTTGACTTTTGTTCAAGAAAGCTTTTTTACTACCTAAGAAACTTAATAAGAGATAGAAGTTGAATCTTCTATTCCTACCTGTCACTTGCTTTTCGGTATTATAATTGTTTTTTGAAGGTTGAATATACATAATTGAAGAAGAAATTTTTTCTAGAACTTTCTTTCCTACATCATTATTGATATATTGAAACATGTGAATGTGATCAATAGGAGCCTATTTATTGTTCCTGAAACCAATGTGTTTCATGTCAGCCAATTACCTTTGGTAAAGATTTGTGCTATTCAAAATTTAGAGTCAAATTGAGATAGGCAAAATTCATCAGAAAACCATGAAAGCGATAGCTTTAAGAGGTTCAACAGTGACTGGAAGAGAAAAATAAGTTCTTTTATTATTAAAAACCTCTATATACCTCTCGTTTCAAAGATGGAGAAGGTCTTCATGTATTTTACTATTGGTTCTTTTTTCTTTGGAAACATTCTTGCCATTGGTATTAAAGGTATTACTTGACTTATTCTTGATCACCAGAAGTCAAGTTTTTGGTTAAAAAGGATTGTAAACAAGTAAAGAGAAGTAGAGATGACTCTTAAAGTTACTCTTCAAGATGTTTTAAGGAAAGTATTAAAGACTTTTTTAGCAAAGAAGCAAAAAACTTCTTGCAAACATCTTTTTTATATGTAGTTAGAGAATCAGCAAAAGAAGTTTATTTTTTTTTTTAAACTCATAGTCAGGCCAGTATTGTATATTTATTAATCAATATGAAAACTAATAGAGATACATAGGGCAATTGTATCATGCTAAACTAAAAAACTTGTATTGACACACTTGTCAATAGCTTTTAATTTCAAAAGAGCTTCAGCTTCTAAATGCAACCTTGAAAACAATATTTTGCTCTAGACTAAGTTTTGAGTAAAGACCCTTCTAACTTATTCATTATTGACAGCAGGTTGTCATTACTTATTATTCTTCAAGGAACTAAGTTTGAGAAACTACAAAAGTGAAAAGAAAAAATAAAAGAAAAGGGTTATATCTAAAAATATGCAAATGCACTACATGAAAATAAAAAGAAAAAAGAAAATTAAAATGCTACATGTCCTCCAAAGAACCTCTGCTAGAAACCTTTTCTCATTAGGAGTCAACTCTTCTGAGATATCCTTCTTCTTTTTGATCATCTAAGAAACTTATTCATCTATGCTCTTGATTATTTTTTTGTGACTATCTGAGATACTTATTGCTTATTCAGATCCAGTGTTTTTCTCAACACTTTCCTTCTTTTGATTTTGATTTTGTATTTATCTGCACAAAAAAAGATAACTAATAATGGAACCCAGGTTCTTATGTAGCTTTTCAGTCTTATTGAGTAACTCTTGATATCTTTCAATAGTTATGCCTAGTTAAAGTAATTTTATTGGTGTTCATTTTAATTGTGATATTATTACACAACATCTAGGAAAATGCATTCTCAATTCTAGAGAAAGGTAGTGTTTTATATTCTTCTGCTTTTCAATCTTACAGCCTGACTAGGATAAGGAAATAATCTTCTTCATGTACTTTGCCTAACCGGGATGATAAGAAGTTGAAAACCTTGACTTGAACAAATAACCACCTTTTCATTACCTAGGGAATTTAGTATCTATCCTAATAGCCTCATAATTTCTTTGCTTCAGTTAAACTTTATTTGTAGGTATGGAGGAGTTCGTATCCTTAATTTTTTTTTCTATCACCAATGATATCATCGGAACACATGAGGTGACCAATAGAAGTTTGTTTACATTCAGCTACTAATGTATTTCATGTCAATCAATCAGATGCCAGGTGACGTTGTGTTACAAAAAATTCAAGGTCAAACTGAGATAGACAAAATATTTCAAGAAAATCGTGAAAAACAGTAAGCACTTTAAGAGGATACAAGACAATATGTGAGAAGGTGAAAAATAAGCTTTCTCTTGCCAATAAAATCTCTATTCCTATAGCTTTCAGCTCTGTAAGGTGACACTTCACTTGTTAGTCCTTTTACTTCCTAAAATTTTCTTACCTTTAGTAGAGAAAGTGTGTACTTAAATTTTTTTAGATCACTAGAGGCTTAAGTTTTTATTCAAAGAAGTTTATAAACAAGTAAGGGAGTGTAGAAAAGATAAATAAAGACAAGTTTCAAGTTGTTTTAATGAAAGTATAAAGACTTTATTAGCAAGGAAATATAAAATTTCTTATAAACATCTTTTTTGTGTATGATCAAAGGATCAGCGAAAAGAGTTTTAATATATATAGTTTAACGGAAAGAGTTTATATTTTGATAACTAAACTATAATCTATATGATAATTATTATATATAACTCTTTCTACTAATCCTTTGACTATATACAAAAAAGATATTCGCAAGAAGTTTTTATATTTCTTGATTAATATAATCTTTTCACTTTCCTTAAAA